CACCACTTTGGTTTCTACACTACTTTTGCTAGTCTTCATGTTTGGCTCAAGGGGCTACTGACAAGAGCTTTGGAGGCTTTGATGCATGTGTGAACTAACATATGTTGGCATAAGTTAAACTTCCAGTTGAATTGTCAATTTTATTCTATATCCAGTATTGTAATTAGGCACTTAAACTAACAGCTACTGCACAACTAGATTAAGTCACGCATGATCAAACTCTGATAAAACGACAAGAAGTTTAAAAGCGAGTTGCAGTGCAATCACCAAAATTATATTGATAAAACGACGACCAAAACATCTCAACTATTTACTGTGGCTTTGATATACAAAACTGATAGAAAAAATAGAAACACATTCGCACTCATATCATTATTGATGTAATCCCAAGCCACCAAAGCTTGAAGGTTCCACTTACTACCTTAATATACAAGGCTGTCATGAAGACTAAATTAACCTACAATTGTAGCTATTTACAAACACAGCTCTCTTACTTTTCCAGAGAACAGTGCAGGTTTATTATGGGATCATGACAAAGTTACCTTACGGAAATAAATAAGAATGAATACTCTAAATGTGACTTTCTGATGAACAATGAAGGGAAATCCACAACATACCAAGTTTCTAACCATCATAGCATAACTGCTTTATGTTATTAAAACCTACATATACAACTGTTTTGAAAACAGTCTCCTCTACTCCAAATTTTACTTCCTGAAAATATGTTTAGACTTTTAATTAAGTTACTCTTATGATAATAACATATAATCATGTAAATTATTTTCATGTACTAAAATCAATCTTACTTGAGTATTGCAGGGTTCTCACTAGAAGGTGGAAGCTGGGTACCTTAACTAGGATGAACAAGTCAATACCTAATTACTTCCCTATTATGAATACATACATTCACTTCAAAAAATATTCTTTTCCTCCTATTCACTCTCCTATTGGGCCCTCCTACATGAAAACTTAGTGAAACCCCTGTAATGGTATCCCCCCAGGGGAACAAATGTTAATGTAATAGTAGAGACTAATTTATATAATCCAAATCAACCCAGGTTTCAATGACATGTCACTTAAGTACTGAAGCCAGTCTATAAGTAATCAATACCATTATGTTTTTCTTTATATAGCCCATGAAACAAAAGCATTTCTGATAAGACATCACATTTCCCTCACGATGATGAAGACGAAGAATCTGTTGGAAACAATGTGTTGAGAAGCTCATCGACATTGTTTAAAACAACATCAGCCTCCTTTTCCAGAAATTTTTGGTTGCCCGCCCCACTGAGAACTCCGATGGTGAGACCCAGCCCCGCAGAGCGACCCATTGTGGTGTCTGCGACAGTGTCACCAATTATAACAGTTTGACTTGGGCAAACATCTAAGTCTTTGCAAATGCCAAGTGCAGTTTCAGGGTCTGGTTTTGGCTTAGTATCTTGGTCATCCCCACAAACAATTTTATCAACCATGCTCATAAGGCCTAACCTGTCAAGAGCTGACAGTGTACCTTCACGGCTGTCTGTAGTGCAGATAGCTGTCTTAACACCCTTTGCCCTTAAACTTTCAAATATTGCTGGAAGGTCACCCAGAGGCTCCAGAGTGTCATGCCCACCACTGTCGAAGTCTTTACAGCAGTTGTCTACCAGCTTCTGTGCCTTTATTTCGTCCACTCCACTTTTAACCAGAACAGAGACAAATGCCTGTCTGATTTCAGCAACAGTCGCATGAGCTAGCAGTCCTCCATCAGAATATACACGTTTCTTGGGACAGAAGCCCACTTCTTCATACATTTTGTCAGCAAGAGCAAGGCCAGTGGCTTCTTCAAGCTCACGTACATGGCTTTCCATCCATGGAATCCAGACAGTATTTACATCAATCAGAGTTCCATCTTTGTCAAATATAACAAGGGAGGGATCCATGGAGTCAGGGAACGATGACCCACTACTCTGTCCATCACCAGCAAGGGAAGAGAAACCCGCTGAACAGCCACCACGTCGAGGAAGCTGTGGTCTTGCCCAAGGGGCATTACCTACAGGAGTCAAGTTATATTAGCACCACAAACAGGGGGGAGGGAGAAGTCACGTCTACCAACCAAACATACTTCTCAACTGTCACAAATCAGCTTGCAAAGCTATCCGAATAGTTTGCCAAAGCTCACGGGTTTGAATTCCACCAAAATCCTTCTTTGCCATGTTTGCAAAGATTGTGAGGACTTACTTTACATGTTAATTTATGTGGTACCATCTTTCCACAGAACTGAGAAAGATGCACCACAGACTGCACTCTTTAATGGAGAACAAGAGACGACAAAACAGACACATTACATATTACATAATGCCAGAAGATATAACACTCATGAACAATGAGCATCACATCACAAGATAAACTCATCTTTCATGAGGACCAAACTTTCCTGTATTTCATGAAAAACCATTGGGTACCTGATTTTGAATGACCCTGTCTCCAGAGGTCCTGGTCAATAAATCCCCTTTTCAGTGATGTTGTTCTAATGGTTTGTTCTGCTGGGGGCGGAGCGCCATATAGCTTGTGGTAATCATACCCATCAGCACTTTGCCTGTTGACAATTACATGTCAGCACCACATAACATAAGGCCTTTGACAAGTTGTGCTTGTTGGCCTTTAAAAACAAGTGCTGCACACAATATTAACCATAAAATAACCACCTCAGTTGGAAAATTACTGATGAAAATTAAGAAAATTTTGTGTGTAGATGATCAGGAAGACCAAGAAGTTGCAGTAAACTCACATATATATACTCAAATATGAATTTGCAGGTAATATAGAGAAATCAGACAGTATAATTTTCCATTTCAAGTGTAACAGTATGACCATTTCCAACAAAAGGTTGTTAAGTTATAGTTTTAAGGCAATACTTACCTGACAAATTTAAAATTCAAAAATAAACTCCTTTAATTTTACATATGTGGAAGGAAACCCTGTGTTGTGAAGAGGTATCTCGCTGCATTACATAAACTGGTCTCTGAACATTATGTTACGGTTACAATAATTTAGATTACAATACTTTTACGTTATTACAGAGCTTGGCAGCTATCCACCAAGTTACAGTTCCTTTCTTATGCATTGGTGAAGGATATTCGGGATCAGGAAGGTCTCTGGCCAAACTGCTTTACCCTATGTGATACTCTATACATTCATATGAGCACTTTTCCAGAAGCCTAACATATATACCCTTGCATGCCCTAGATAATTTTATATCTGTGGGTACACAGTTTAGACCTGTACATTAATCACAATCCTGGTTTAACAAACTTGCATCATCATGATAGACAAACAGGGTACAATGGTCTCAGACATTTCCTAAAGATATAGGCTGTGAGTTTTTTATGGGAATAATGAACTTGATGTAACAAACTCCCATGTCATGATATCAAAGTTATTTAGAACATCAGATATAACCAACTTTTCAAAACTGAGCAAGTTTGGTAAGTCAGGGCTGCACCATGTTAATTACAAGTATTTTACAAAAGGTTCAGAATATGCCCTACAATTAATTTACAAATTTGATTTTAATTTTTTGCGTAATGCTTCTCCGAGGATCTTGACCAGGTGGGAATCGAAACATACCTTGGTTTACCTAGAGAAAAGTTTCAAAGTGAAAACCTTTGTGAGAAATTGTCACAAATGAGACAAAAACCTCCTGTAGAGGTTGCACTGTCAAAGTACAGTCAAAGGACAAAGAAAGGCTTTGCATGTATTTAATTCTTCAAGATTTGGCAAGTTTAGTTGCAAGTCTGTAAGAATAAATTTATAGTGAATACAGATACTGAGTAATATTAAACTTAACAAAACTCAGGCTATCATGAAAAAAGCTGTTGTTTTGAGAAACATCATTGTCATAGAAGAGTCAGTTACAATCAGTTTTATGAGGTAAGGTCAAAAGGTTGAATCACTCTGCATATTAGCACTGCATTTTAAAATATCCCTTGTTTAACTATTGACAACTTCTAGGTAAAGGAAAATGAAAAAGACCACCACTAGTTACAAAATGAAACCATAACAACCATCCAAGTTACCAATCTTTGTATTCACACAAATACTTTGGAATAAAACCCAATAGATTCTGCTTCCTCATTTTCTTAAGATGCAGAATTGACTTCTCTGTATTGTATTACAATAAATAATTTTGTGTCCATAAATGTTTTAATCTCAAGCTCTGCATTTTTGATTTCATTGCACGTTCAAAAGAAGTTCAGAACTAGTATTTTCATACATGGCAAAATGGAAAACCATGTTCTAACCAAGCTATATCACACCCTGTATAAAGTTGATCATTCAGAACTCAGTCCTGGTTTCGTCAATATCAATGCAGTTGTGTCTCAACCCTTGCTCCTATGAAGCAGAATAACCTGAAAGCCACCATGGCATGTATAGACATTATCAAATGATCCAAATGATAGCTTGATCTTTAACATACCTTGGAGACTGTGTGACAATGACAAGGTTGCCCTTATAATCTTTGCCAAATCCAAGCCTTTCATGCCATACTACTTGCGCAGCCACTCCTGTTAATACAACGGACATGAAGTTAATAAAACTAACTTTGTTGTTCAGTCCAGCACAAACAGAGCTGTATAATTAAATTTCTTACTGCCCTTAAATAATATTCTTTTTCCATGATTTTTCATATTGTAAAAAAATTGAACTCTAAACTCTAGAATGTACTTTGACATCATGAACTCTGGAATCTGCACTAGGTTCCAGACAGGCTAGATTTTTCTCCTTAAGCCCTCGAGGGCTTTTTTCAGAAATTTGCTAACTATTTTATCAGAAAGCAAGAACCAAATTTAATGCCACACGAACACAGTCAAGAGATGACTCTGTAGATACAATAAAATTGATTAAACCTAAACATGACAAAATCAAAATAATTAGTGATGATTTTTTTTACCTGCAAATGATGGCTGGCTATTATAGTGTACTTGCTTTATACACCTGTTGGGTAACTTTAGAAGACCAGAAATCTTCCTTGCACATCCATTGAAAGCCATTATTTCACAAGTTAATGTTCAAACTGCAATTAACAAGGTCAGTTGAACATTTGAGAGATCTTAGGCAAGACCATTGAAGCTCAAGATTGCATAACAAAAGAGAGAGAGAGAGAGAGTTGTGCTTTAAAAGAAAAAACCATAACAACAAAATCTGGAGAACAATATCCAAAAGCATAACATATTTTCCACGTCAATACTACTGACAAGTGCATGAAGGTCACAAGTTCTTACTCCAGATTTAATATTGTTTTGATCAATGCAAGTTCAGATACAGAAAATATTTATAAGCTATTTTAATACTTCCTAGTTAAAAACTTAACATCCACTCTCTTCAATTGTTTGGCATGCAAAGTCTTTATCACTTTGTTGTTTCCCCCCCGCCCTGTAATTTTTTCCACCCGATTTAACCGCCCTAGGGTTGCCGGTAGATGTTGCCATGTTGCGGTTCACGAGCTATTTGCGCGCTGAAAAAAATTGCTCATCTCCTAATGTTCAGAAAACAGAACATTAGATAAAGATAATAAATAACAAGCGCGGCTGAAATCTACTAATGAAAAGGAAAACCATCTTCACTGTCGGTCCGCAGCAAAATTTCTACTTTCCGCCTAAAACGGGAATATGAATCGAAATGTTTCGAATAAGAAATATCATAGTGTATTGCTTTCGCTAAAGATTTTTTTCAACGCGCATTGACAGTCAAAGATGAACAAGAGGAAATGCAGTACAGCATCACCAAAGCTGGGCAGAGGAACTTCAAATCTGAAATTATAAGGCTTTTAAAAAAATACCAGCAGCGAGCCGAGCCGAGCCGAGCCGGCAAGGTCGAAGGCCGGTAAACGCGCGCTTTCAGGTTGTGAACGTAAATCTTACCAATTCTGCCCAAAAACTTCATAGGAAAACAAGAACACCTTTCATTTGACCTTACCTTGGTTTTTAACTTGCCACACAAAGATTATCCGCTCAAGCCAATTTCTTATTTCTATCCCGTTTGGAGAAATCACCACTCCACTTTCCGCCATGAAAGTGTTAGCAGTCAAGCGGACAGTTCGTATTTATATCCCGGTGTAGATCACGTGTTGTTTCGTCACAAAACTGGTTTTTCCTGTTTCTATGGGAAACTACATAAAAGGAAATCGCGCGATGTGTGGAACCACTGTCACGTGCACAGGTTATTTGCATAATGTAACGCAATCTCTTCCTCTTGGAAAAATACTAAGAAATATGGAAGCGGAGTTGAAGCAGGGTTGTGCCCCGGTGTATCGTTACACTAAGGGAATAATCATTGTACTGCCTTTCTTCACGAGCCTTTGTTTAGCTGTTCTATATTGTTAGGTCTTTAGTATCGGCTCTTCTACACCGCGCCGGCCGATACCACGGGGCCGGTACGCGAGGACACATACCGAAGCAGCCGGATGTCGATTTATTCTTTTGAAAAGCGGCCGCTTGGCTTCCAACCAAAAATAACTTTTTTGACACAGAATTCACGTATTCAATGATACATTTTCTTTTATTACCAGCATTACCGCCAATCTTCCTTCCATCTGTGTCCCACCACACTTTTATAAATCTTCTGGCGTCAGTTACGTAACACATCACGTGTCTAAGAAGAGGTCGGGCGGGTTACTTCAATTTTGCCAGACTAACGCTTAGCTTGGTCAGCTTGGCCTTGAGAAAATTCGTTAGAGCCTGCACTTTCCGCGTGAGTTGTTTTTTAAAAATTATTTAATTTCAGTTTTCTTTCTTGCAGGCATCACATCCGCCTCAGAAAAGAGAGTGAGCGGCACTTGCCAGCCTGCCTGTCATGACTCTTTGACACGTACGTAGGAGCCAGGGTCCGAGAGGGTTGTTTTGCGTGATCAGAGTGTGATCTGTGCAAATATGGCAAAACGAAAATACCGCTTTACGTGGGCCAAAAATAGAAAAAGAATTCAGCGAGGCTGATGCTCAAGAGACCAACAAACTTTGGGCTCTATTCTGTGGTATCAAATCGGAGTTTACCGTCAACACTACTCGGGAGGAATTTGAAAAGGGGTCTGAAAACGCAGCTTTATTTCTACGGTTAGGCCTTCCGTCCACACTAATCCAGACCGAGAACGGTACCTTTACGAAAACGCTCCTCAAACAGGAGGAATTTGAAAACGCCGGCTGTTTTAGTAGACGGAAAACGATTTGAAAATGGAGCTTTTCGAACACGATGGTGTTACGTAATCATATGATTTCCCTCTCCGAGTTTTTCTCAAACACAGCCGGATCCATAATGGCCGGTGATATTTGCGTTTTCATATTTCTCCGGCGTAGTAGTGTCGACGGGGACTAAGGCAATCCTTTAATCTGTGAATGGCGGAGCCGCTCGCTTTAACCAGCGCGGAAAACGGCACTCTGTTTGGACCGCCGGGTCGGCTGTATATTTACGGTAGCCGAAAGAGGAAAGAAAACCAGGGTCAAAGTGAACTGACGTCAATGATTTCAAGAGACACTTTGAGACTGCATTTAATGACGGAGCCTTGCATTTCTTGCATGTATTACCATTTCTTTGACCCTAAAGAAACCAATTCCTTGTACCACTCGGTACCACCAATCCTTTGAAAAGAAATAAACCCTTACTTGAGTCGCTGAAATTTTAAGAACACGATTAGCATACGACCAAAACAAGAGTTGTCGTTGTTCCGCGAACAATCGTAATTTGAGAAAGGAATTAGCATAGTTGACAAAGCTGATGAGTGGTTACGCAGGCTAGACCTGTTTAGCTTGGGCGGTTTGTTTTCCCATTACAGACCGCGTGATATTAAATTCTCCAGAGAACTGTTCTTTTGCCCATCTAAAAATTATTCATTCATATACACTCGACTATTTGGCAATTTAAATTCTCAAGAGTTTCATCACAGGGTCTGAAATGGGGCAACAAATCAACCGTCCACGCGAAAAAGCTCTATTTGACCGACCTCATTGGTTGATATTAAGGCAGTAATATGATCGTTTGATGAGTTGCTTGTAATATTGACCTGTAGCTCATCTGGTATTCAAGGGTTAATATTTTCTATCCTCGTTCCATCGTGGGATCGAAAGTACACAAAGTGGGCGCCAGCTGGACAACTGAACACCTTTATTCAAAGCTACAAAAACAAAGATCTTTACAAAGAAAATTCCACTCGGTATCAAGAAAAACCACTCTGCGGATTATCGACAAAGCTTTTCTTTATCACTAG